TTTCTCTTTCTCTCCCTCTTATTGTATTTTTTGAGTTTTGTGAAGCATATTGTAGTGTGAAAGGTAGCCAAAAAGCTCCTAAAAGTCTCCATAGTTGAGGATCTAATAAAGCTCGCTACGAGGTATTGCTCATCAATCTCTTGCTCCATCTTTCACTTCTTTTATTTTAAATATTGTTATAATAAAAGTAAATATGTAGACATTTTAGGGTCAATCGCTTAATTTAAATTTAGGCATTTAAATAACCATTCATAAAAGGGATTAAGTATTTATATTATTATTTTTACTATGCTAACTTCATCATAAGGGTATCGATAAAGAGCGTTGTAGGGGTGCTTAATACCTTCCCTACATGTAACCGACCCCCGAACCCAATTCTAGTTATCAAGGCCATTATTGGACTTTGAAAAACCTTTTCTTTTTCCAATGTTTTGAGTAAAACATTGGTGGCGACTCCATGAACCATTTTTCAAAACCATTAATTAAGAATTAGTCTGGTGTCTGGACATTCCTTAATTGATGGATTTTCGAAAGGATATCTAAACCATTGGTCGCAAGATCGGAAATTTTCGTGTAGCGACAACCCTTAATCAAATAAGAGGTATTATTTGGTGAAATTCATTTAATGTTCACATAAAATGTGTCAAACGATTACCTACCACCACAAGGGAAGATGATGAAGACAAACAAGGAGAACTTATTAGCTAGATTCAAAGTGTTGCAACGGTCATCTTGTTTAGGCTATTGTATAAGAATTTTATTCGAAGCACAAGAAGAAGAAAGATGCAATATATAGTTGTACAAAAACTTATTCTCCATTAATCCATTATTACTTGTAAGCACTCATTACTATGTAAATTGGTTGTTAAACATCTAAGTGAGATGAATACAAAATTTGTATAACCTTTATAACCATTCTTATAAGGTTGAGCACGAAGAGGTTTATTTGTAAAAGAATATTTTTTTTGAGCCTAGAGAGTCTTGAATATAAAAGAATACTTGGTTGCTAAGCCTGAAGAAGCTTGTTGTTAAAAGAATACATGGGTAGTTGCTTGAAGAGACAAGTCTAAGAATACTTAGGATTGAGCTAGAAGTGGCTTGGTAAAAGAATACATGTATCTATGTTTAAAGATAGTGAAACTCAATCTAGTTGTCTGAGAATTGGATGTAGTCTTGGTTGTTGAGGCGAACTAGAATAAAAATACTCAATGTTCCATTTAACTACTCTTCTTGCTTTATATGATTAGCATTACTACCTCATTGTAGAAAATGTGCGAGATTTTGGTATACAATATTCCATCCCTCTTCTAGTGTCTATATTTTTTCCACAAAAAGGAACCAAGAGAAGTGGGCTAGACATGAAGGTAGAAGGCCCAAGCATAAGATTGAGCATTGATTTATCTTTTAGTCCATTTCTTTTTCCTAGTAAATATTTCTTTGTAATATTTTTTGTTTTGATATTTTATTTTTGGGTCAAGTAATATAGGATACATTCCCTTGTATTTTTCCTTTGAGATGTAATTAAGAGATTAGGGAGGTGTAACTAATAAATAACACATGTAATTAAATCGGTTGGTTTATTTGAGCCTAGGATATGCCACCTACCCATATGAGTTAGAAGACCACCAAGTTGTTACATACATGTCACCATAGGTTAGTTAACTCCATTTAGTCACATGCACCATTCACTAGTCACACCATTCACACTTGCAACATGACAAGTTCTTATAGGATAGTTTAAATCTGGAGCACATGACTTCTATAGACATTGGTTTAGGAACCACATTTGAATTCACATTCAAATTGTTGGCATGCCATTTCACCCTAGGTTAAGTAAACATGGTTCATTTGTATGTTGATTACTTAGCTTGCTCCTTAAGCTAGCTTGCTCTATATATTCATGTAGCCTAGTAATATTCATCATTTTTGAGTTGTATATGAGATTTGATTCATAATTCCTATCTTCAAAAGTCTTGTTCTCTCTAAGGAGTAAAACTCCTTAAGATCTTTCATCAAGGAATCCCTCCTTGTGACAAGATCAACACTTCTTATTTATCCTTAATTAAAGGTGGTGCGGCCAAATCACTCTCTTGTCTACCATATTTTCTTGTTTTTTTTTTTGTATCTTGATCCCATGGATGAAGATTGAAGGAGCTAGGAGCCAAGATGAGAAAATTTCCTACCATTTCTCCATCAAGATTCCATCACATGCTTATTTCTTTTTGTAGTTTAGCTATATAGCTAAAACAAAAATAAGAAAGGGGGTTGAATTATGTTTATTAAAAACTTCAACACTTATTAGACTATAGCAAAGTAAAAAGGAAATCGAAAGAGATACATGAAATAGAAGGCACAAATTTTGTATTGGTTCATCTCTACCACTAAGACTACGTCAAGTCTTGATCAACCTCATCAAGTTCCATTAACTTTAATAAAGTTACAAGATTATTATTCTTTTACAAGCCAGTGTTGGCTCAACCTAAGTAGTCTTTGACTTGTTTATTTAAGAAATTGCCCAAATATTCTTTTGACACAAAGCTTTTCCAAGCTTCAAAGAACCTAAGTATTCTTTACCTACCAAGTGTCTTTAAGCTTCTAGCTAAAACACTTAATATATAACTTTTTAGGGTAAGACTAACAAGTATCATTTTTTCTAAGACGTGATAAAATAAAATTAGTACGTACAAAATTTTGTTTTACATAGAGAGAATTGCAATGGAAAGAACATTTCTTTTAATATCCTTTTGTTGACCAACCTTCATATTAATAGGTAGCCTTTGAAGATAATCGTTACAAACCCTAAACATATAATATGAGCGGATCCTAACTTGTTCTTTTTCAAACATTAGCACGATTGTGTTAGATTAAGCACGAGTGTGTTTCTCTTTGTAAAGTGAAAGCTTGAAATCTTAATATAATTGTGCAAATTACAACACCAAGAGCAAAGAAATTATATTGTGACACAGTTGTTCTAGAACCGACACATCCTTTTGTACTTTTCAATTTTTCTCTTCATTCAAGCATGCATGGTAGTGCATAATGTCAACAAGATTGTGATTCTATGTCCATAAACTTTCTCCTTGGAATTTCAAAATTTTTCACATGATTGCAATAACCTTAATTTTTGTCCAATTATATCTAGAAATTGGTCAAGTTATTTAATTAATTCATTAAACCATGGGAAATTTGACCTAAATCTAATAAAAAAAATCCCAACAAATTATAGTTGACTAATGGAAGTGTTGGCAACAGTGGTATGACATCTGGGAGGATCATTTTCAAATGTACAGAAAACATTTTTCTAATTAGAAATCAAATTTACAAATGGTTATTTATTGATTTTGAAAATGAACATAAAAATGTTTTGAAATTGAGTTTAAAATCATTTCAACTCTATTTTTGTCAAATGTGTTTTATTTTACAAATCATATTTGAAAGCACAAAATTAAAAAGTTTAACCACGCTAAATTGTCCTTAAACTTTAGGTATCAAGTGGTTCTTATGACTAGTCAAGTATTAGAGGATATTTTACAAGTGCCCTCCCTCAATTGACAAGCAATTAAGGTTTGAAATTTTTTTATGCCATTAAATCTACTAGTTACACTAGTATAGAATAATTAAAATTTATTGTTTCATTAATCATATTTGTTCTTATGCTTTCTTTATTTGTGATGAATTTGTAAAATATTGTTTTTCTTACTGCAATTTTCTTAAAAAATATGTATTACATTTATGTTCCATCCTTATTGAAACTTTTGTACCAAAAATAATGGTATCTCTAGTTTTACCCACTTTGGAGTGTAAAATATATTTTTTCACCATTCTCACAATGCATGAGACAATTGCATTCATTTTGATTAAGGTTGAATACTAAAATTACAATTCTATCACATGCCTTTTTTATTTTGTAAAAATTAATTTTATGATATAAACATTTATGACCCTCCCTTTGAGCTTTGCCTTAATGATTCCTATGTCCACTTCTTTGGCCCCACATACATGTTAATTTCTAATAAAGATATTCACTTATTGCTTAAAAGAACAAAATTAGCTACGAGACAAAAAAAAAACTGAATTATTTAAATTTTTCCACATGAAAGTTTGTAATTTACTCTATGGGTTATGGGAATCCTACAACTTGCTCCTTAATAATGAAATGTTGAGTAAGCATCATAATTCAGCTAGATACAAGGTATTAATCACATAGATAAACAAGTTGCAATATGAAGAGAGTTAAATTGTTATTTTATATTTAAAGAAATTAATTTGATACCTAAAATGAATTGCTTACTTTAGGAAGAAAAATAAACCAATGTCAACATTGACGACTTTACCTCTAATTGTTGCATGTTTTTAACAATTCATTCAATAGAAGTAATTGATATATTATATCTCTAAATCACATTTTTCGAGTCCTTTAGAGTGGACGACGTCATCAATATTAAGTTTTAGTAAAAATAGTAAAGCTATAAACCTTCTAAAAAAGTTATAACCAATATAAACATTTTCTTATTCGAAGTGAATAAACATAATAAATGTGATTCAGTAAACTTAGTTCAATCTCTTTATCCAAAATTACATATGAATTTTGTTTTATGATCGTTTACTCCTTGTACCAATCCTACTTAATAAAAATAAGCACCTACAACTCTTTCAAGACTAGTTCTTTTTTCTTTTTCAATACATCAAAATGCAAAGTGTAAACCTTATAGTCTTGTGTCGATACTTCCATAACTAACTTCTGTTTGATGTGATTGTTCATTACTAATTACATCCATAGTTGGAACGAGGAAATGGATTGTTAACAACAATTTATCTAGCAATTAAAATTTGTTTTTTTTTAGGTTGTAGCCAAATAATAATAATAATAATAAAACCATTCTTGATTTTTCTGGACCCAAAATACGTTTAATTTCAAGTGTCAAAATTCAAATATATAAGAATAATAGAATATCTAACCATACATTGTATGCTATTGAAATCATTAAATCAAGGCCTTAAGTAACTGACAACAATAAAAATGCAATACTCTTTGACTTCATCCATCAAATGAATGACATGTTCAATTGGACAAAAGACTATATCATATACACTATATACAAAAATATCAAGGATTTGCTTTAAACATGTGAAACCAGTGATGCTAGCAAAGAAACGGGGAAAAAAAAAATAATGATTTCCCTACTTTCTTAGGAATTACTTATAGTGATACAATTTCTAAACAAAAATGTATATATACAAGTAGGGTGGAAAATAGCATGTATTTCATGCAAAATCTAGAATCCTGCATAAGGAGGATACAATAAAGAGACAAGTTAGCACTAGGTTTTCACATAATACAATTATCAAAAGGAGGATGATAATCAGGGCGAGTGGCAATATGTTCAAAATGTTTTACCTCTCATTTTTTGTGTAAACGACTCGTACATTATGGTCTTCTGTGTTATCTACTTCTTCCATATATCATGTACATACTTTTCAAGACCACTAAAACCATTTCATTTAGTCAAATTAATTCTCAAAGATCTGTTCATTTGATTACCACTCAAATTATATAGTGAGTCTTGATTGCTGTAGGTAATATTTGTTATGACGTGCATTTCTATTTCACAATTTCTTCTGTTTTCTTCTTTTCAAGTTCAAGTTGTTGGTAGTTTTCTTTGTGGGCTTTGTTGAACATTCCAGTAAAGTTGAGCATAGTTGTGACAACTAAAGAAAAAACTTACAAGAATTAACATCCAACTGTTATAGAGTAGTAAGATATCAAGTTTGATATGAAAAGATTCATAGTTTTTTTCTCAATCGAACTACATGATTTCTATATTGGTATGAAGCATTGAATCTTTAATTTTCTTTATTCATTTCTATATTCAATATTGTCACTCTTGGATATTTCACCATATGTATATGTGAAGTATCCAACCCTTTAAAGAGTTATATAAAAATTCAATACATATACTTTTGAGACATAAAAGTATGTACAATATAGAAACATAGAAGCATTATTCCTTGATGTACAAACAATGGAAATGTTCTCTTTATGGATGATTTCAAGAGAATGAGATTTATAATTTTTCAATTTGTAGATAGTAGAAAGTGATTTATGATGACAATAATTTACAATTTTTATTTTGTTTTTAGTAATGTCCAAGAAATATGTTATAAGTTTTAGATTTGAAAAATTGTACTTATATACTTATTATGTTTTATGAATTTTTATACATATCCAAACATGTATCTTACATGTATCATACCCTATAATCATATTGTTGTATTTGATATGCATAGTATTAGGCAAGTATGGTATTATGCATGTTAGTAGTAAACTCAACAAAATGATCATTTATCTTCATAGACTAGAATTGAAAAGAGGAATCTCATTAGAAATTGACATCACTAAGGAAGATTACTTTTTCAGGCATCATGTGTTGTCCTCCAATTTGACGATATATAAGGATAAGATTAAAACTTTAAAATATTTGTGGGCAAAATGAAACTATAGTTTTTTGTTTTCGATAAATAAAATGCAACTCAAGATTAGGGTTGATACAAGTGTTAAGAAAAAATATTAATGCAAAATTTAACATGCTTTGGTCCTACATGCCTACATCAATAGATGAAAAGGTTGAATGATCATATCAATTATACGGAACATTATAATGCAAATTTGTATTGACAAAGCCATAAACCATCTGTCAATACTGCTTTCTATGGGACAAATTGCAAACCCTTCCTTACCAATATTACTCATAAGTCACAATTATTTCTCTTTCATTTTATTAATTGAACATATTCATTTCAATTATTTATAATTCAAAAAAACTTTCTTTGAGAAGAACCCACTCCTGAACTCTCTTAATTAATGAGGATTTTGTTATTATTATTATTATTATTATTATTATTATTATTGATTTTTCATTAAAGAAAATTAATTATTTTGCTATTAATCATAACTTGAAAATAGGATACTACCAAAAGAGGAGGAAACAATGATAATTATAAAAATTGGCCTAAAATCAAATTATAATTAATTAGTCACATACCTTGCTCAAAAGGACAACGACATGGATCTTCACCAAAATAAATAATCAAAGCTTCTACATTCCTTCCCTGTAAAACAAAGGCTTTCCTTGTAAATCATAGCCTATAACAATTTATAAAGATTATAATACATATTCTAAGTGGTCTACCATGATAGAATATAGTGAAGACAATGAAGAGACTTCGGCCTTCGCAGAATAGAGGTACTCTTTCAACTTCTGAAAAAATAATTAATAATGTAAAATTTTCCTATATGACAAAAAAATTTATCAAAGATTATTATATAAGGAATATGTTTGGAGTGTTAACATATATATCTACAAATGCTAAAGATTCATGTTTATATGTTAGTGACATTCTGATTTGGGAACTTCTAACTATTGTAAAAGGTGTCCGCATTTTAAATTCTCCTATTATTTGTTTGTATTAGAATGTGGATGCAAACTAGGGATGTCAAAAATACCCGCACCCGTGGATATTTGTCGGTAAAATCCGCTACGGATAATAAATGGATAGACTAATTGAGTACTCGCAGATAATGAGGACGGATAATTTTTTACCCGTTTATAAACGGGGCGGGGGCGGGTATGATGATATTCATACCCGCGGGTACCCTTTGAATAATATTTCTTAAATATCCTAATTATCATTGTACCACATAACCCTAAAATTACTCTCTCTTCTTATTTTCTTACAAAAGTGAGGTTGATGAAGTTATACCAACATGTGTTAAGCATGTTATAGAATTGTTGGATGTAATTTGATTAATTTTCTAGCTTTCATTGAACCAATAAATTTTGATGTATTTTAAGTTGTTTACTTTCGTTTAAAATTATGAGATTGAATTATTGTAACTTTGTGATAAGACTTTAACTTACTTGTGAGATTGATGTATTTTAAATTATTGATCATCTTGCATTTTTATTATTATTTCAATAAAATTAACGTTAAATACAAGTTCAAAATTAACATTAATTTTTTATTTTTTAATATTTCAATGACATTAAATATAAACTTAAAACTATTTGTAATATAATTTTTTTTAATTTTTTAAAAAAATTATAAATATCCATGGATATCCACGGATATCCATATTCAAGAAATTCATGGATACCCGCTTAATGGATACCCGCGCGGATATGGGGTGGGTACGGGGCTAATTTTCATCTAGCGAGACGGGAGAGAGTTTACTATTACCCACCCCCATGAGGCCCCATTGCCATCCCTAATGCAAACCAAAAGTTGGTTTTTCACTGAACTTCCTTTTTCTTTCAAAGCACATGATTAACAAAACTCAATTGGCCCTGAATTAATTTCTCCCTTCCAAGAACCACATGGAAGAGATTGAGGCATAAAAAGAAATGTTTGTTACTTAATAGGTCAACATCTGTCCATTACTCATGTCCTTGTCCAATTATATTAGAGATATCATGAATTAGTGAATTATTTTAGAATAATTTTTTGTGAAAATACAAAATTTGAAAAGAAAATTAATAACACGTTTAACATTTTAAAGAAAATATGAAGAAGAAAATAAATGATTGGTGATCAAACTCTTTGGGAAGGCATGATGCCTATACCTTGCAAAAAGTTTCTGATACAAGACCATCATTTTCAGAGGTGGATTGTTCATGTTCAAGTTTCTCTAGTCCTTTGCTTATAGCTTGTTTTTCCTCTGCCAACAATGTCAATTGGATCTAGATCATAATCATACATGTCAATGCTAGCAAATATATCATGTCATCAACATAATGAAATGAAAAGCCAAGGAAAAGGTCCAGCACCTTTGCTGCTAGAGGGAGGTTAGCAAGATCCTTTGAGAAATCTAAAACTTCTGGTAATTTATCAGCTAGAATCTATGAGTAATCATAATATCAAAGGTTACCAAACATTAATGATGGAAACTTCCCAAAATTGAAGTAAAAGCTATGTTGTAGATTATTGTAATTTAATTCTTCAATGGACATCATAACACAAATGATAATTTTTTAAATAAAAATAAAGGAAAGGAAAAAATAGACCAAAAAAGAATAAACATGTACCTTACAAAGGTAATGCATTAGAGTTATCTTCTTGTTTTGTGCACGTGTCTCAGTGAGTTTAAGAAGACTATCCAATTTGAATCCAATAGCAGAGCCTAAAAGAAGATTAAAATACATAAACATATCACAACCATCAAACTAAAAGATAAATACTAAATAGTTTCAACATCATGTGAAGATATGATACAATATCAAACCACTTATATTGTAAAAAATAAGTGGAATTGATAATGGAAATGAATTATGAAAACACGGATTAAGATAGATAGCTCTATAAATAACATATAAGATTATGGAATTTTTTTGATATATACTTGGGGTTTAAAAAAATGTTGTCATTTCCTTATTTTTCTTGTTTCCTTATTTTCATTTAGTTTCCTTGATTCCTTAATTATAATTCCTAAACATTATGGATTATGTTAAAAGTAAAGGGAATAGACATAAAAGATGAACTGAAACCATGTGTTTTGTACTACACCATGGGATATATATATATATATATATATGTGTGTGTGTGTGTGTGTGCACCAAAGCAAGGTTAGAAGAAACCTTGAGGGAAACCTAGAGAGAGAGTTCTCTACAGTTTTATGACTCTTGAGTGGGAGAGAAATTCAGATTTTATTTCTCAATTTTGTCAAAAGTGAGTATAAGTGTAGGAAAATCAAATATATAGGGGAGAGTAGCTTGTAGAAGAAGTTATCCTTAACCATGGTTCATTAGGAACCATGGTAAGGTTAACTTAACTCCTACGGTTTAGCTAGCTTGTAGGAGAAGCTAAACCTTGACCATGGTTCACTTAAGAACCATGGTAAGGTAAGCTAACCTCACTTGAGTTTAGAAGCTTGCAAGACAAGCTTCAAAACTCAAGTAGGTTTACTTGAGATTTTTGATGGATCCTATTTGTCACATATGAAGTGATTGATTCATGTTTGCTTGTTCCTATTCTTCTTGAATCAATTGTTGTTGTGCGTTTTAGGTACTCTTGTTCTTGTGCGTTTTTAATTTTTGCTTGAGTCTCTCCATTCTATAACATGTGTCCGTGATTGGACAACATTCACATTGCATAGATTTTGTTTTTGAATCACTTGTTTTGTCATAGATGTCATGTATAGTCCTTTATATGTTGAAAACTCCTAGACTAGCTTGTTTGACCTAGTTTTTGTGTTGTGTTGATTGAGTCCGAATTTTTTGTGTATTTTCTTATTAAATCTGAACCTTACTATATGTGCTTTTGCTTTACATGATTGAGTTCCTAATTTGATATTAGTTCTAGCAAATTTCTTAGAGTTAGGTTTCTATTATGTCTTGTTAAAAGTTTTGTCAAAAAAATTTGTTAAACACTTCTCCTATTAGGTTTCCTTGTGTCTTGTGTTGTGGCTGAAACTTATTAAAATTTTTTGGACCTTAAAACAGAACCAAAACAGAGGTGTGAGTGTCCTAAATGCATAAGAAAAACAAAATAATGAGTGCTTAAAAATTTTACCTCAAAATAAAACAAAATAGTGAAGCACTAATTACAAAATGCATGTGAACACCTCTTGATTGTGTAATATTTTTGCTGCAGTTTTATATATTAAAACCGAGACCTAGAAATGTTTAAAAAGGCTTAGAAACTCCTGAACATCAAAAGAAAAATAAGAGAAAAATATTTTTCAAAAGAAAAAGAAAGAAGATAGCAAAAGAAAAAGCCAAAGGAGTGAAAATTTGCTTAGAATTGCTCTCGGTTTTGATGAAATTTTGCTTACATTTTTAGTTGATCCAGCCACATATTTGTGTCTTGTTTTTGTTCATAATCTTAGCTTTTAATTTTGTAATCCATTCTAGTGCCATTCATAGGTTATTCGTTGTGTGTGCTAGCTTCCTAAACTTGCCTTAATTTTTTGCTTGTCAATTTTGTGGAATTCTTTCTAGTCTTTCTCATTGTCTTCTACCATTTGGTGTAGCCATTCTAAATTGTTCATTTTCAGTTTTAGCACTAATATTCTAGTCTTGAAGGTGGTTGAGTGCTTCTTGAAAGGTGTAGGAGGCCAAGGCAAGGGATATCCACTTGAAGGCTTGGTGGTTGCTTAGGGAGTTTTGTTCTCTCTTGGTGGCTTGGCTCTTGGAAACACCTAGAAGTGACTAACATCAAGGTTGCTTCTAAGAGGAGTGAAACACCTTGTGAGGCTGCAGTTTGGTGGCTGAATTGGAGAAAGAAAGAACAAAGCTACTTGTGAAATTTGTTTGCGAAAATTTAGAACAAATTTTAGTGACGAAAATTTTTTATTCTAAAATTATTTTTCCTTACAAAATCCGTGACTAAAATTTGCTTCTAATTAGTGGCTAATTTGTTTTTCTTAAAATTAGGTGCAGCCACTAATTTCATTTGAAAGTAAATTTACATTTCATTTGGAGTGTGAATTTACATTTCATTTGAAACAAATTTGAATTTCATTTGACTTGTAATTTTTTGTTTTCTAAATTTTTGTACAAGGCCTTTATTAAGGAGTGTCTTGGAGTGCCTTTGGTGTATCTCCATCTCTCCTTAAGAACTTTTATAGCTATTCACGTGTAGTGCTTGTGAGAGTGGTCCTTGAGGGTCTTTGGTGCCTTTCAAGCTCTCACTTAGGTTTAATTGCTTTCAACGCCTAGTTTATGTTTTCTTGTCTTTAAGTTTTCAAGCAATTTATGTTTTAAGCAATTTATGTTTTCAAGTGAGGTTAGCTTACCTTACCATGGTTCTTAAGTGAACCATGGTCAAGGTTTAGCTTCTCCTACAAGCTAGCTAAACCGTAGGAGTTAAGTTAACCTTACCATGGTTCCTAATGAACCATGGTTAAGGATAACTTCTTCTACAAGCTACTCTCCTTCTCTTTCTAAGGCCGTCCACCGATACATGGCATGCCCTTGGAAGCTAAGGATAGCCAGAGGGACTTTCCTCTATTCACTCACCTTGTGACAAGCAAAAAGTTGCTCAACCTTGATCTCCCAATCTATTCAATACGCATGATTAGGGGATATTTTGTTTCCCATAAATAACATATTATGCATAATTACTAAATATCACGATATTATTCACAAAACTCACACTCAAGTAATGGCATATAAATCATATGCACCCAACTTGTTACATATATAACTAATCCTTGGACATCACAAAGATATATCCAAACTCAATCTTCTCTCTTACAAAGCAATAATCTACCTCAATATGTTTGGTCTCTCATGAAAAATGGGATTGGATGAAATATGTAATGTTGTTTGATTATCACAAACCAATGTCATTTTCTTAGAGTCATCAAGTTTGAGTTATCTTAGCAATAGTTTCAGCGATATAAGCTCAGATGTCACTAAAGTTATAGCATTGAATTCTACCTCAACATTGGATCATGACATAACATTTCACTTCTTACTCTTACTTGATATCAAATTTCCTCTAATTAACACAATACCCAGATGTTGATTGTCTATCATTATGTGAACTAGCCCAATATGCATCTAAGTAACCAACTATCTTAGCATGTCCTCTATTTTCATAGATAAGGCCTTTTCCTAAAGCATATTTAATATATTTCAATTTTCGAGTTACAACATCCAAATGATATTTGTAACGCCATGGAAATATTAGGCTAATTGGTATATATACTTATATATATATATGTGTGTGTGTGTGTATGTGTGTGTATGTTTGTATGGATTTAGATTATATTATGGATGTGTGGATTTGAAATGTACTTACCTCTATGCAAGTTTGTATGCTTATGTGGTTCTGATTAGTTATTTCGACTTAGAAGTGATTTCATAAGATGAGATGAGATATTGTTGTTTTGAGATGTTTATATAGGCATGTGTATGCATGAGTGTGGTGAATGATGCATTATACACTATTATACTGAACTGGTACTAAGAGGGAAGAAGATCGATCACCTTGCTTCTTATCTTAGTTAAGTGAAGTATTGTGACATGCAACTCATTATTTCAAGAATATGTATCTGAATGTGATGTTTATTTATATGTTAATACATGTTGCATTTCATATGGTGGTGAGTTATGAGTATTGCATGGAAAGAAGTAGGAAAGGTAGGAAATTGGAGGATAAGAACATAAGATAAATTTGGTCTTTCTGAGTGAATTTGAGGTTATTTTAGAGCTTAGGGAAGCTGAGGATACATTTAGGAAGTTTGTCAAGTGGGGATTAATCTTCACAACTAGAGTTTCAAGAGATTTAGTCTCTAAAGGGTTGAAAAATGAGAATGAAGTTTGAGTTGGGATTTGAGGACTTTGTTCAAATTTTGCATTTCTAAGGTTTCTGAGGTAAAGGTAGTACTTATAAGACTTAATCTAGTATGTATGGAGTAAGTCTATGTAGACTTACTCTTGGAGTAAAAGGATCCCTCTTCATATATATTGATGGAGGACCATCCTTGGAGCTTCATGTGGGACCTATCACTAGGTCCATGACTAGGAGATTGGAAGAGGATAGGGGAGCTAACACCCCTAGAGACATGCTTCTCATAGCTAAAGAATATTGATCATTCTCCTAAGCCTTGTTAGCATAGAACTTATTTTTATTCCTATTTTGTCCTTGTCTTTAATTTTCCCATTTTTACCTTTGTATTTTGGGTATCTTAGACATGATTTATTTTACTTGTATTTCTGATTTTTACCCTTGTATTTTGGGGTATCTTAGTCATAGGATTTATTTTCACTTGTATTTCCCATTTTACCCTTGTATTATGGGGTGTCTTAGATTATAGGATTTTATTTTTGGACTAGGGTATTTTATTAAGGTGAGAAAATAGGCCTAGATGTGTTTTTTGGTAGTCTTGGAATTATTTTTGGACTTGATAAGGTTTAGGCCCAAGTGGAGGGCACCTAGGTTGCATGGTCTTATCATGCACCTAGATGTAGCCTAACCAAATCCAAAGATTCCATCGTTGGCCACTAAGTAGCATCTAGGATTAATTTAGGTTTCATTTGAAGTGCATTTGGCTTGCATTTTTCGATCATGCACTCTCAAATACAACCCTAAATTTAACCTCTCTTCTATAAATATCCTAGGCTAGCATCCTTGTAAATACTTTAAAAATTATAATAGTGAGCCTTTTGTGCCTTAATATTTTCCTTAATCTCTCTTGGTCTAAATTCGGCCAAGAACCCTACCTATCTCCACCTTGAGAGAAAACCCAGAAGTGGCCTTTATCACCCATGGAGTGAGCCAAAACCTAGAGTCCCCCTCTCAAACCTTTCAACAAACACCTTCACCTCACCCTTCCATTTTTGGTTTCCATCCTAAAACACGCCCACCTTGAAGAGCTTGATCCAAGGAGTCAAGACTTCCTTCACATTGGTCATCATCTCTCAACCAATGCTAGCAAGGATGCCATTATATATATATATATATATATATATATATGTTGAGAGAGTGAGAGATGCTAAGATCACTGATGGAAACCTAATCCCCAAGGATCCCTTTGGAAGAGGTAAGACCAAGAAGGGTGAAGGTTAATCCATAGGAGAGCTCACATATAAAGACCATTGGGCCTTTAACTAGGTCTATGAGGCTAGAGGAAGCTTCTACAGAAGAGGTGTTTCTTAGACCTATGCTCTTCATGAGCATTGAGTATGGTTCCTCTTATTACTCTCTTAGCTTTCATTGTATATACATTGTATAGTAATTGTACATTGTAGCTACTTGCATAGGTGTATTTTGCCTTTGTATTTGTAAGGCACCTTTGTCTTTTCTTATAGGTCATACCCTTAGGATTCTAGGGTATGTTACTTGGAGACTTTTACTTCATTTGACCTTATATTAAGGGTCATAGATTTTCTCATTTTTAGTAGTAGAAGTGGGGTGACAAATAGTAAAGTATGTAGGTGAAGCTAGTAATTGGGCCTTTGGTGGGCCTAGGCAAAATTTTACATATTAGGCTTGTTTTCCTCCATTTTTTTTTCAAAGAATTGATTTAGTTAGGTCTCAGCACCATTTAGTGAACTTAACTAAACCAATTCCAACATTCTTGGATTGGATTAAGTGTAGGAAATAAGCCATGATCGCCTAGCTCCCTCCTTGGCCGAATTTCTCTTTAGCTTCTCCCACACACTTGCTTCTAGCTTAGCTTGCTCTACAAGCTTGTAGCTTAGGTTGCTACACAAGCCTCTAGGAAGGTAACTAGGGATAGTTAGCTTAAGTGTAAAAAGGTTAACCATAGTTCTACTTGAACCACGGTTAGACAAGCTTACACCATAAGCCACCTATTCTCTATATAAGGCTTTTCCATCACTTTGTAAACACTTTTGGATGATATATTGAGATTGCCAAGTATTATTCCTTTAATTATCTCTTCCTAAAAGTCTCAAACCTCTTTGATTCCAATCCAATTCTCTTATCCTCTTCATACAAGAGCGTGATGAGTTTTGAAGTGATTCATCTTCTTTCAAGGAGTGGCATCACTTGAAGAGTTTTCTTCACCTCTCAAGGTAAAAACCAAATCTTTTTCTACCTTAGGAGGCTTTAGAGAAGCTTGAGAATTGTCAAGAAGCCAAAGGTCTAGGGAGGAACTTGAAGGAGAAACCAACACCAATCCGGATTCTCTAGAAGGTTTCCATCAATCACCTTGTTGTGTTAAGCGCCATTTGACGTAAAAAAATTTACAAACTATGGTGTTAAGCATGCAAGTGTCCACACTATGCGCGAGAACCATAATAAGCTACAATGGTTTGGAAGCTAAGCACAAGCTAGTTTGTGCCGAGTGTGAGAACCATAGTGTATGAGCCTATGGTGCTAAGCACAAAAGTGTTCACACTAAGTGTGTATACCTTGGATAGTGAGGAAAGATAATTAATATTTATAATGAGTTTGAATTTTACCCTTATAAGAATAATTCAATATGAGAATAACTAAATTATGAGACTGAGCATTGAGGTTTGGAATCAAGACATGATTATGAGAACAAAAGATTTGTTATTGATAATTGTATGAGATATAGTGATATGTGACATGCATCATATGCTTAAAACCTAAGTTTTGAGGTATCAATGTAGAATCCTTTGCTAGGGAGGTCAATTAAGCATCTTTGGTTTTGAACCTTGTGTGTCAACCTAGGATGGGAACCCTAGTTTAACTCATGATGAGTTTAGGTGGAACTAGCGTGACTTGTAACTTTGACAACCCACTGGTGAATCTTTCCCCTAATTGAGAGTATTTGGTGTCCAACATTTTTGTCAGGTGGTTCTGTTTACCTATATTTACTCTTAAACTATGCTCTTTGAGAATGAGTTTGAGATGACGCCACATTCATAAATGCATTAGAATATGAGAGCGTTACATGTCAGATATTTTCTAGGATGTGATTGACTTACATTATATTATTGCATATCTTTATATATGTAATGCTACATATGTTGTTGATGAACCTTAATTTATTTCCAACAAGAGCATGAGTGAGTGTCTCACTCCCTTTTCTTGTTTCCTTCATTTGTGTTTGGATTAAATCCCATTTGTAGGTAAAGATCAGTTTAATGTTAATGCTAGTGGAGTGACTTAGGTCTTCTTTGTGTGAAGTTAGGATACCATGCTCCACTTGGGCTTGACATTGAGGCTTGGATTTTATTTGTGTTTAGTTTTGTTTATGTCCTTTTGTATTCAGTTGTATTTAGCTTTTAAATTGATGTATGGTCTTTGGAGTGTCAATCTTTTTATTAAACATTTATATTGTCTTTTGATTTTGATTTGAATGTCCGACTAGTTGTTAAAATTTCTATTCTTTTACCATTTGTGAAGCGCTTTGAAAAATATGCTTTTTCTTTGGTTGCAAAACTTCTTTAAGATATATTATTATGTTAGTCTAAAAGGGTACAGTGTGTCATACACTACCTGTGAACTTTTGTGCCTAATATACCTGCTTCAACTCTCTAGTGAGCTAGGTCCAATAGAGCTAGCTTGTGACAACATCCTTGTATCTCTCTTTCAATCCAATCTTCCATAAAAGAACTAAGCATATAGAAGTTGATTACCATTTTATTAGAGAAATATCATTTCCAAAGTTATTTCTCTCCCTAAAATGTTAGACAATTTGGGTAACTTTAATGATGTTTATTTTTGTTCTTTTTTTCCTCTTATGTATTTTTTTTTATTGTGTAAGGAAGATTTCTCATCCCGCTAAATCCTAACTATTTGTAATAATAATATTAATAATAATAATAAAATAACAATAATAGGATAAAACTTATATGTAGTATCATACGTATGGTTGGTGTTATTTTTCAATCAGAATTAGAATTTTACATTGATAGTGTCATAAAAAAATTTGTTGTCAACACATACTAGTGAGAAAAGTTTTTAATTTTGACTAAAGAACAACATGAACATTACCATAGGTATTTTCTTATAGTTTTCTTCCTAATAATAATGACGATGAAGAGTACTTAATAAAGGTGTATACCAGGCTAGTACATAAATTGTTTTAAATGAGATTCTGAATTGTCTTACCCTTGGCAGTACCCTGGTTCAAAGCGTTTCCTAGGGAAAGTACTGTTTGCATGATTCTCTTTAATTTGACAGAATTCCTAATCTGATAAAAAAATAAATAAGACGAGAGATCATCACAACAACCAAAATATTATCTTTGGAAAGGGAAAATATAGAGCCAAAAATAGTTTAAGCATAAAGGAGGATTATCTTGCCTCTTCTGAAACCGCATTCACTACAGTTAGGCTATTTCTAAGGTCAGAAACCTACAAAATAATATACCAAGGTCAAACTGGAAAGCATTTTATAAACCTTTGACGCATACTACTCACGAAGGCAAACAACAATTTTCATACCCTAGAGTTAAACTGAATCTTGAATGAAAAGACTTTAAGTTTGGATTCTACGCGCGGAACTTTCATCAACTCCAAGAAGAACTACAATGAAAGATGAAAGAAGATATCGTCAAAACTAAAAATGTAGTAATCTCCACCATTTAAGTTAAGTATCTAAACACTAATATATATATAAACAACAATTGCAAATGGCTTCAACGGAATATGTCACTCAAACATGCATTTTTTCTCTTTCCAAATTCATGCTTGCTAGGAGTAGTTTGTTCGGAATATTACTGGGTCGTTATTAGTTTGTTAGAAGTACTTTGTTGATTTTTATGAGCACTATTTTATAGAGTTCTATTTTAGTCAAGGATAAAATATATTTTTAATATCTAAAAATATTTTGTATTATTCTAGTCTTTAATTTGAAAATAAGCTACTTTGGATTTCAAAATTTTGATCTCAAAGTGGTTTGTATAGTTCTTAAAGGAAACTATAAAAACACTATCTAAATTATTTTGAGGGTCACAATTGATTATTTTTAAATTAGAAATGTCAAAATAAGACAAATAAAAGTTACGGAACTCAAACTAAACTTGAAATTTTTTGAAGGAATAAAAACATATTACCCAAGAATTACATAATGAATTACTTTCATAGTACTAATTTTTTGTTCTTCGAAATCTATCTTCGCTTTTCCAGTATGGTAATTGTTAGGAGTAATTAGTTTGTTAGGAATATTAGTGTTTATTATCAGTATGTAGAAGCAATTTGTTAATTATATACACTATATATCAATTATATCTTTAAAAATTCAATCGATACACAAATTTTATTCTATGGTAGCCCTTCTTTATTTTAAGTTCTATTGTGTATGGTCACACTATATTAGTGTTACTTGTATCTTCAAATTTTAGATATGATAACAGCGAGAGTGATGATTCTGCTGCCAAAGAAGATGAAAAGGAGATTAAAGGTATGACTGATTGCTAACCAATAATTTGTCAAACTGATTCCTTTGCCACATGCACTCAATTAATCGCTTTTTTGAGAATGATTTTACAGTAAAGAACTGCTTCATCCAGCAGTTGTAGTGTTGTACGAACCAAGAAAACTGCATGCAAGTCTATCGGAGGGAAGACTAAGGAAGCAGTTGGCAACCAAAGTTGTCAGTTCGGAAACCAGAGGCATGGTGAAATAAACACACCAGTTCAAGCCACTAACGTTGGTTCTCGAAGAAATCAGGAAGTTCCCATAGCACAAAACAATTGATCCACAAGCTTCCATTTCACCATTTGGTGAGAGAAAATTTACAGGATTTTATGAATAATCGAGTTTCTTTACACCAGTTTTGAATCAGAGAGTGCGTATTGTTATCTTCCATCATGAGAAAATTTTAAATTTCATCCTTTAGGTCCCATGGTTATTTTGAGACCTGTGAATGCTAGAGTCACTACAAGTAAATGGTGAATAAGCGGCAGAAAATAAGCGTCGGTTAATAGCCGACACAAATAGTGTTGAAAAAGCGGACGCTATTTTAAATATAGCGTCGGCTTTTCCGACATTAATTTAATTTAAATTTAAATTAAATTAGTATCGCGTTGACTTTTCCGACGCTAAACTTAAAATATTTAATTTAAATTTATTTTAAATTTAGCGTTGGAAAAGCCGATGCTATTCTTTAAATATAGCGTCGGCTTTTCCGACACTAAACTTAATTTAAATTTAGTCTCAAAAAAGCCGAAGTTACATCTTAAAATAACGTCAGCTTTTTCGACAGTATATGTGCTTTGAAAGAGATAAAGATAATTTTTTAATGTTACATGTCCTGGTACACTTGGTTATCAAGTTCACTTAAGACCTTAAGGTTCACGGATTGAGTCTCAGGAATGTTAAAAATACGAACAAATAAATGATAAGCTGGAAAAAGAAGATAAAGAAAAAAATAAAATAAATTTTGTGTCAACATAGTGTCGGCTTAATCGAAAATAAAAAATAAAAATAAATAAATTTGTTAGTGACGACTTAGCCGACATAAAAAAAATTATGTTAACTTATTTAGCGTCAGCCAAAAACCGACAATATTACATTAATTTTTATGATTTAGAGTCGGCTTTTGGCCGACTCTAAATCGAAACATTCTTGTAGTGAGTGCTAGGTTTTCGGTGCCCTAACATCTTATTGTGAAAGGCTTTGTTGACTGTTTTGGCTCCATTGGCTCCCTCTAATTATTCAATGTGTTTGGGTTTTAGTGTTTTTTTTTTTCTTGTCCTTTTGTTTTGTCACACATATACTAGTGTATAAAATATACAAAAAGAAATTTGCATATTATTTTTCTTTCTTGTTCTTTTAGGTCAAGGTGATTGTGGTGGTACTACTAATCACCTTATAAGTACTAATCACCTTATAAGGGATGTTTATAAGTACTCATCACCTTATAAAGGATGTTACGAGTAATTAGTTTGTTAGAAATATTGATGAGTTGTTATTAGATAGTTTGTTAGAAGCAGTTTGTTGGTTCATATGAGCTCTATAAATAGCAGTTTGTTAATTTGTTAGAAGTAGCTTGTTACACAATGTTATTTTATGACTCATTTATTTTGAACTTTATGGTGTACCAAACCATGTTTGCACTACATGTGTCTTTCTTCGAATTTCATTTTCTTAAAGAAGTGCTTATTCTCCAAAGTTCTAATAATGATCCTTAAGAAAATTGTGACATTAATTAATAAACCTTATTGTATACATATATGGATATATTTGATTAAAAAATTGTCATTCCTTGTAATCATTGTGTCATCAACATCGACAAATAAATAAGCATTTCTAGAGAGAAAGATGACAATAAAAAACTTAATGATTTGCTTTACTTTTTTTCAACCTAGAGTTTTGCATCACGTGGTTAACTTTCCCAAACCAAACTCAAAGAAATTGTTTGAGACAATAGAGATCTCTTCAGTTTATGAGCAATAAATTTAGGAAGTTGCTCCATGTAAATTTCCTTTTCTAATTCCCCGTGAGGAAAGGAATTTTTCATGTCCAATTGATGGAGAGGCCGATGGCAAATAACTACCATAGTAAGAAAGATCCAAACTATAGTGATATTGGCAACATGAGAGAAAATATCACCATAATCGAATCATATATTTGAGTTTATGTTACTATTGGAGTATATCTTTACACCTTACCCATAACACTTTGTTTTAGATTAGTTTATAATTCTTTGGTTACACTTTTTGAATTTTCTTTTCTTTATTCTTTATTCTCAATCGTAAAGTAGTAGCATAGAAATAATTATTGTATTAGATTCTTATAATTTCCTACCTAGTTAGTTAGACCTATAGCCAAGGTAGTCAAAATCGAGATCTTACTCAAGATCGAAAAGGGAAGTATGAATCGTAAAACGGAAGATCGTAACATGGATCGTAAGATCCTACAAAACTTATGAAACTCATATACGAACACATAAATTTTGTAGTAAAAAAAACAGCTTCATCCTAGTAAAAAAACAGTAAAAATTCAACTAAAGGGAAGAACTTATTAAATAGGTTTAGAAGAATAGAAGTGGCGGTAGTTTATTTTTTTTCATGAAAGAAGAGCGGGAGTCTCTACTTTCTTAAAGGGAAGAAGATTTAATTTTTGTTCATGGAAGAAGAGGAGTTGTCTCTCTTTTCGTAAAGAGAAAAACCAAGAAGAGCAGCAGTCAAGGGAGTGGCGGCTTCTAGTTCTCTGTTTTCGTAAAGGGGGAGTGGAAAGGTTTTTATTTTTTTTAATCTATGTGGGCAGAGGACCCCTTTCAATATTTCATAAGTTATTGGGCTTTTGGGGGAAAATAAATATGGGCTTACGTTAGGGTTTTTTTGGGCTGAAATGTATTTTGACTTCTGGGTTATAAAACTGGGTCACAAGTCCGACCCACAAATTAACCTAAAATTAGGTTGCAAAGGAGCGCCGTTTCTGTACGAGTTCCGTTCTTCCTCGTCGATCCACTACGATCCGCAGAATTTACGATCCAGAACAGGCGCGAGCACGGAATTGGTGAAGAAGATCGTGAACGCATCCGATCTTACGCGGTAAACCGCGATTTTGACTACCATGCCTATAGCTTCTATTAGATGTTATGTTAACATCTTCTATTAGAAGTTGTTAGCTCTATAAATACTTTATTGTCGGTTACATCTTAGAAACTTACCTTGCTTAGGTATAGTAAGATCAATTTCTTCTTTCTTGGCTTCAATCTTCTATTCTAAGGACATGCTCACTTGCATCATTGGATGTAAATTTTCCTTTCAACTTTGGGACAAAATTCACCCATATCTCCATTCTCACACAAATGCTAAAGCTCGACAAATTCAAAATGAACATTGTATTATGAGCCTTGAAAATCGTTGCGTTTAAGATTATCTTCTTCAGATTCAAACACTCGTGGATGTACTAGGAGCTATTGGTGATTATGTTTCTTCCAAGGAACACCTTGACATCATTTTTGAAAGCTTACCCAAGTAATATGAGTCTACAGTTTCCTTAATTTGTAGTCAATTTGATGATCTGTCAATGAATGAAATTGAAACTCTACTTCTTGCACATGAATGTCATCTTTAAAAGTTCAAGAAGAAAGTTGTTGCCTTCATTAATGTTGTTGAAACGTCCTCAAATTCCAACTCTCTTACGTCACAACCTCGAGCTATTATTGCTTATAATGATTCAAAGTCTCAGTTCTTGCAATTCTAATGTGGTCAAACTAGAAGTCGTGGTGGTTGGTTTAATAATCATGGAGGCATTGGCCGTGGTCATTATTCTGGCCTTCAATGTCAAGTTTGCCACCAATATGGTCATATTCTTTCTATGTGCTATTAACAGTTTGATGAAAACTATGTCTTTTCTCTACCCTTTGATTAACCTTCATCTAGTCATGCAAGTCAAGCTACTCCTCAGAATGTGTGGTACATTACTTAAGGCTTTTTTCATCAAATCCTTCATCCTTCTTCCAATCAATCTAGCATACTAGGAGTCCATCGTAACACTAATCCCCCTCAATTATACATGGTTTCTAATGGTACTTCTGGCTTTACTCACTTCCAACCTTAGGCTGTGGTCAC